GTTATTTTACTGACCCATGATCAGCATTATACGTAAGTTTAAAGAATTTCTGAAACACAGATAATTTGCAGTAGTGTCTTAAGTTAATTTATTAATTGAAAGATGAAATAATGATTAACAAGATATTTAATACTTTTAGCCAAAGCTGTATTTAGCGCAAATTATTTCACAGTATTAAAAAAATTTACATGTAAATGTTAAATAAAGAATATATATATATAGAATATTTTATCAATCTTTATTTAAATATTAAATTATTAAAAAGAATAATGAAAATTGTGACATAATGTTGGAATATCAAAAATCCCACGCAAATAATTATTAATTACATTTAAAAGAACCATACAAGTAAATAGGATTGAACTGAAGTGCCAGAGATGCCACAAAGCAAAGCGCGAAATGTTCGACGATACCCGTTTGTCAAAATCATATAAATTGTAAAATATGAATAAATGAATAAACCGTAAATATTTTTCATACGCGACAGTTGAACGTCGCGTCTGAACGGCGAAGGGTGGTGCCGCGCGGCGAAAAGCGAGAGAGACGGAAGTGTGATACGAATCGCTCCAGGTGTCGCATTAATTTATGAAAATGAAATATCTAAGAACGCGAATTACGTAAGGTTGCCCAAAACTAAGTGTGCTAAGGGTTAAGAAATAAGTTCAGAAGAAGTTATTTAACCCTTAGTACACACACACACACACACGTTAGTTTTGGATACCCTTAATACACACGTACGGTTATTCGTGTCTTGTCTTAATTTTCATCACTTTTGCAAGTGTATATAAATTATTAAACAATTTTTACATATATTTTGACGTCTTTAGAAAGTATTTGTGCAGTTATATATTCATAACAAATTGTAGATAAATTATTGTAACTAAATATAGTTAATGAAATTAGAAAAATGCACTGTTTCATATAAAAATATAAAACTCTGAAACAAAAATGTTTAAAGGAAAAGTGTGGTTCAGTATTTTAAAATTGACATTCCAAACTACAAGGAAAAAAATAGTTCAAGTGTCGGCTATCCAAAAAGTTTAGTTATTGAGTAATCTGAAAATATTTTTTTAATATACATGAATGGTTATAAAAATTGAAGATATATTACATTTACATTTTAAAACAATGAATTTTATTATTGCTATTGTGTTAAAAAAAACTTATAATTTGTTATAGGAAAATGTTATCTATAATATTACAGACAATGTAATATATAATATTACTAACAACATTTAGAACAAAGGTACAAAAAATCGCGTTTATTAAGGGTTAATATGTACGTTGTTTTAGGGCTAAATTCTTTTTTTAATAATTCGCGAAATATTCTCATAATATAACTGAGAATTAGTTGAAGTTTTAAAAAAAAAAAATTTTTTTAGTTACAGAAAATGTACACTCTTTGCGACCCAGAGGTGAACTTTGGAATTATGCCAGTTAGAGGATACGCACGAATCGAGACCGATAACGCACAAAACTTATTCTTTAGATGCCAAACTTTTTTTTAGCAATAGAAAAAAGATCGATATTTAGCCAGGTGCTCTTAGCATTTCAAAAAAAAAAAAATGGGCAGGGCACGAATGATCCAGACATGTATACTAAGACTATTAAAATAATAACTTTTAAATAACTCTTTCATCTTTTTTAATAAAATGCGTTTCAAATATCTTTATTTTTTAAATACGACCGAACCTCGTATAATATAATACATAATATAATATAATGTATTATTAATTTTCACAGTTTAATGATTTTACTTTCTAATTATTCATATTTTAATACTAGCGATAAACAGATATTTATTCAGCAATTATTAACAGAAAATTTATATTGTTACACACAAATTAGACAGATATATGAGTTTTATTTTAGTAAAAATTTAGAAATTTAATCGGTGTTTTAAATAATGTCACGATTTATGAAACTAAAGAGGAACTATGTAATAATTAAGGCAATAATGATATATAATTGAAGTGTGATAATTAAGTAAAATTTGTTTGTATAAAACAGAAAATTCAGAGTGAAAATTTTACAAAACCTTGTTTTTTTTTTTTCAAATGTAGCACGGTTGGCGCGTGGCCTTGATGTTTGTTTTTGCGCGGTGCAGCAGGCGGGTAGCTCATTATTTACGTATGTCGACATCGTCCGATCGTCGATGCGTTATCATTCAACTTCGAACGTTCATGCGGGCAGGTAGCAGTGCTACTCTGAATAATATCTTTAGTATTTCTTTTCAGATCGCAATCACGACAAGTGTTAGATATAATACGAGATGTATTTTACATTCGTTCATAGCACAGGATTACTAATTTGCATGGTTGTTAGTTATTCGTAAATGGATCAAGTCAATCATGTGAATTACGAATATATATTATATATTTCATACGATGTATTTGTTTAGAATTGAAACACGATGGAGAAGAAGATTCATAATTGTTTTACAATAATTGTGGACGATATTTATTTTTCGTTAAGATAAAATTTTTCTTTTGTTTAAATATGTAACTATCTATTATACGAAACGTATTTTAAATTGTATGTCCGATTAAATATTAATTTAAATTGTCAAGCATCTTTGGCTTGACCTTGTTTAATATTTTTTGTTTTTATCTAAATATTATAGATATACATTTTGAACGGTATAATATGTGTTACAAAAAGAGCAATGTTAATCCTTACTATACACAATTGCGGGGAGTTCCAGAAATCCCAATACAATTTGCTAAATCGGAATTTTTTTATGTTTCTAAATTTTTCTTTTTCTTTGAATCTAATATATCTCGAAATTCCTTACTTCTATCGACTTTATACATGGACTTATTCCTTAATCAATTCTCTATTAATTGAAGAAAAAATTAATTGAAATACGTTATGTCTATTTTTACGGAAATTATGGTAATAAATATGGATGGGGTCCCAGAGACTCAAGTGTATATATCAATGGTAGGAAAAAAAGTGTGTATAACAAGAGTTAATAAATATCTTTATATGTGTGAAAATAACGCAATATATACAGTTTGCGAATAATTTCTCGTTTTCGTGCATTTTCGCGTAAACGATGAAATCGAGCATAACTTTATCGTGATTGTCTGCCGGCTATGATAACAAACCAATAATAGAAGGATTATTTTTCTTTTTTACTAATATCTGGCCTATTCGATTGATATCTTAATCTTACAGACATTATAATAAAAGATTCATTTTTTCTACTTGTTTGTCCTGAATTTGCTTCGCAAATGATAATGAACTAACATGTGCCCGATATTCATAACATATTTAAAAGTAAATCAATAACATTATATATATATTTTTAAGATATCTCCCCTCCAACGACCTTGATGAGGTAGGAGAACTCAGTACCTTGAGGAAATACACAAAAAAAAAACGGCTTTTCTTAAGTGTCTTAAGAAAAATTTCCGGATTTATCTAAATGTATGTATAATAGCGTATTATGTATTTAACTAAATTTTTAGATACTTAAGCAAAATTGTTCTCTTTGTGTAAAAATCCAATGACGGGGAAACTAACGCACCTTCGTCGCCGATTTAAATAAAAATGAACGAATCGCAGCCGGTTCGTCACGTCGCGCGTTTGCATCGGGAGTGTCGTTAAAATTTTCGGACTAATAAATTTTTTACGACTCCCATCCCATCATGAGTTTAATAACGTGGAGTGCCGTAGAATCGCGTGAAAGACTTAATTAATGATTAGTCCGCGCGCGATTGTAGTATATTATCCGCGAGTACTTTTCGCGAGTGTCCTGTGCGAGAGAATGACAATCCAATCTTGAGAGGAGGAGGTGGTCTGAGAGAGATATCAGGCATCGGCGGAACAACCTTGGAATGAGTATTATTTCTTATCTGCGTTCACAAATAACAGTTCTTTCCCATTTTTCTTTGTTCGAGCTTCTTTTTTACAATCTTGATAATTAAGTTAATAATTAAAAAAAGAGAGAAACCATTTCAAAATTTTATGAAAGTTTATTCTTGTTTTAAAGATTTTTTTGGAAAATAGATAATTATATTCTACACTCATTCCTCCAATTCTCGCGATACTTTTTATACGTAGTTTTTCTACGCGGTAAATAATCCCTTTTTGTGCGCGGTATTTTTTTTCTAAACTTTCACTATTTGTGTTTTTGTACAAATATGTAAAATAAATATTTTTACATACGCAGGTATTTTGATAACGTTTTTTTTTTTTACTAACAGATTTTATTAATGCGATTTTCAATCAAAAAAATTACGTGGAACATATGCTCCACGTAAATCGACAAGTGTTTTGTAATAAAAGTTTGTAATAAAATATGTAATTGAAAACTGAATAAAAAGTTTGAATTAAGCGCGTAAAAATTATATATAAATCTTTTGAAATGTTGATTATTTTGAGCATTTTTCTTTAATTAGGATTTTATGTTTGTGTGTTACAGTAGCATCGCAGATATCTGGCTAAATAATTCCGCTCGTTGCGTATCGAATTGGTGAGTCAGAAATTTTTTTATTGAGGTAACGAATCTACGATTAATTGTGTCAAATATAGATCAAATATATATCAAAGTATATCGAATAACAACAATAAATTATTGTGAAAACATGTTATATCTCGTAAATGTGTTGCCTTAAAAATGGTTAAAACTGATTATTAAAAAAAAACGTAAAGAATAGATAGAGCTCTATGTTACCATAGTACCATTTGTGACTAGAAAGGGGAAGTGAAAATTGAATTAAATTAAAAATTCTTATTTTAAATTTTAATAATTAAGAAAGAATTATTACATTTTAATTAATAATATTTAACGTTATCAAAAATAATTTTAATTATTATAAATTATAAAATATATAGCAACCAAAAGATACAATTGAATATTATACAATATTTATAAAGATTATTAAATATTATATATAAAAAGTATTGTAATAAGTATTACATTATTGATGTGTTATATACACATTGTATATGTATATATTTTTTGGAGCTTTCAAAATCTCATTCTTTACCGCTTAATTATCTACGAAAAGTCCTTTAAGCCAATAAAGCATCGATTTTACTAGTTCTGTTCTTTTATTTTCAACGTAATTCGCATTTCGTTGATATCTATACGGCTTTCCAATATTTCCTCTAAAATTTTCTGAAACGTTGTAGTTATTATTAATCAATTTTATTGCTTTAAGCTTCCTTTTCATGAAAAATCTTATTTCCTAAAACAAAGTTATCTTACATATTTCTTATCTTTTTATTAAATTATATTAATTACCTTCTGCAGTATCCAATAATTTGTCCGATTTTTCTTCTTCTTTACTCATTTTGGATTCTTCAGAAATATTAATTTCTTTAAGAACAGGGTTCCCTTGATTTTCGGAATTTACAATATTCACATTTTGAACATTGTTTGTATTTTCAACTTCAGATAGCTTTAATTCTTGATCTATTTTTGACTGATTCTTTTCTGTATCTGCCTTTTGTATTTCAAATTCTTCAGAATTCTTTCTCAAATTAAAACATTTTTTAGTACTTGGAGATATTGGGAAATTCATATTTGGAATATTCTTTTTCTTGCGAGAATTTATCAAATCTGAAAATTCATCAATTGCGTCGTTATTTTCATACAATAATTTGTTTTCATCCAATAATCCATTTTTTTTTATATTGTCATAATTATTAACATTCTTTTCGTCTGATTGACGTTTAAATCCTTCTACGGAGTTTACTATTGACTTATAATTTAGTATTTTGTTTTGCAATTCGGTTTTATTTAATAATACTCTTTCTTCATTGAAATCAAGCAATAAATTATATTTTTTTGCGAAATCGATGACAGGCATTGAAATCATTGCGAAATTATCATCATTTGGTTTCCATAAATGGTGCTCGTTATTTATTTCTTTTTCTTCTTTTTCTTTCTTTAAATTTTGTATTCTCAAGGCGTTTCTTCTCGTCGCTGTATTAGATGGTTGAAATGGAAAACTGTTACTTCCTAATATATTTTCTTGATCTTTCTTTTCCGTATTTGTTGTCATCGCATGCACATCTTGTTGATGATTTTTTGATGATCGAATTATATGTCCTTGCAGCGGCACGCAACAGGGACATTTTCGTGTTAGAATCTGCTCGCATACATTTTTGGAGATCAATAATGCATAAGAACCATCTTCCAATCTCTTTATCTCTAGCGGTAGTTTCACGCCATCATTGATGTAATAAAGTTGCGATTTCTGAAGCTCTGAGATATCATCGGAAGCAATTGATGAAGGAAATAACTGAGCAGAGTAGATATCGTTTAAGGCAGCCGATTTAGAAGAAGAAACGATAACTTTTTTTGCTTTTGCGATATCTTCATTATTATTTATCTTGTTAATTAGATTGTTATTATCATTATCGCTATTGCCATTACTGTTCTCATTATCGTTATTTATAGATATATTTGTAGTTTCACCAGTTAATGAAGGCGAATTAGTTCTTGAACTATCATCACCAGAAAGTCCTGCCTTGAAGTACGTAGTTTTTGCGTAAGTTCTTTGAATCTCCGTAGTAACTTCGTGGATTTTAATAATATTATTTTCTATCAAATTCTGCTGTTGCGGTTCTAAAATATTATCTGTTAAAGAAATAATTCTAGGTCTATATTCTTCATTTGTGGATGAAATTAAATTAGCATCTGTAGTAGTTAGATATTCTATTTTATTTTCGTCTTTAGTTTCTGCTGTATTTTGCAAAGGCATGTCGTCCTGTGTATAATTGGATAAAGATTTTTGTATAAAGTTCATGGGCGCTGTTGTAATTTCAACATTTTTATCATCGATACGATTTGTTGCATATTTTAAAATCTCAGGCGAATAATACTTTATTGGTGGAAAATTAAACTTAATTCTTTCTAATATTATTAGTGGATCAATGTTATTAGTTGTAGCAGTCAATGTGTTTCCATTTAATGTATGATTTACTTTTTCTTCGACATCTTTAGCTCCTACTACTATATTTTCTAAAATTTTATTATCCGATACGTAATTGGGTGTTTTTTGTATAAAATTCCTTATCGTTATTGTTTCTTTATTACTTTCTTTATCGATAGGATGATTTTTTGTGTATTGTCCAGCTTCTGTTGAATTTGGCTCTAATACGCCAAGATTATTTTGTAAAATAGCTTTGTGATAAATTATTTTGGGTTTCAGTGATTCAGCTATTTCTTTTTCTGCATCATCTTGTCCATCTATCTTTTTTAAAGTTTGATCTCTAATGTCTTCTTTTATTTTATCTTCATTTGTTGATTCCTCTTTTTCTTTTTTCTCATATAAATGTAATATTTGCGGAAATTCAGAAATAGTCAGTATGTTTGCATTATTTTCTAATTTCTTAGCTTTCTGATTATCTGTGGTATGTATTTCTTTATTGTCTATTTTTGTATCTTGTTTTTTCACATCAAGATTCTGTTTGCTATTCAATATTGAATTATCAATATTGTTTTCTATTTTGTAATTACTTGTTGATATTTCTTGCATATTAATCATATCCATATCTGCCTCGTCACTAATAATTTCGTTACTTTGTTCTAACGTATCTTCTGAATTTTTTGACATCTGAAGAATGTCATTTAGTGCATGAATTATCAAATCATCTATTTCATCATCTTTATCGTTAGATAAATTATTTTTCACACTTTGTACGATTATATTCCGCACAATATTCTGGTCTATTTGCGATGCAATTGCCGGAGAGTTTAAAAGCTCTTTGATGCTTTCACGCAAATTTTTCGGTATTGCTATCGATAACTTTTGGTTCAAAATTGGTGCTAAGGTCACTAAATTGGTTTTCCATTGTCCATCTTTAAATTGATGCTCTTCGAGCATCATTGGTGAAAGTTTGTGATGAAAACCAGAAAGTGTACCCAATATGCTGTGTAGAGTGTTTTTAATTACACCATGTGACCAATCGTTTGTGAAATCTTTTCTAGGAATAGCTGTAACGTAGGATAAAACATCTTTTACTTTGTCTACGATTGTATTTTCTATCTGCGGCATCGACAAGATGTCCTTTAAATTCGGAACTTGCAGAATTTCTGGCAGTAAATTTTTACCTTGCGTCTGAAGAATATTTTCATCAAAATCTTTTGTTTTAGTTAAACGAGTATTCGACGTAAAGTCATTAATGACCTTTCTGATAGAATTTAAAAGCAAGGTATTATCACAAAATGGTAATTTATTTGTTGATGAATCGATCGTTTTGATATTATTGGTGGTACTTTCCTTATTGTTTAAATTACTTAATTTTTTGTCGTTGAAATATTGCATTGTCGTAGATTGTTCTTGAGGAACCTCTTCTGGTTTGATGCTGGTTTCTATTCCTATTATTTCTTTTTTTATTTCCTCTACAAAATTATCTTTAGTTTTGGAATTAGAGCTAGTTGTAGTTTCTTCTTCAAAATGTTCTTGAGGGGTTTTCTTTTTAGAATAAATATTCGTATTTGATTCTTTTAGGCAGTTTCTATCTTGCTTTTTAGGATCGGATTTAAAGTCGCAACTAATAACTGTTGTTGTCTCTTCTTGAGAAGTATTTGAATTAGATTTTGTTACCTGATTCTGTTGATTAATTTTCGAATTATTTGCTTCTTCATCACTGTTAGATTCATATGAAGGAGTAAAGTAAAGAACTTTCTCACTTGATGTTGGATTTATTATTTTCTCATCATTTGGATTTAACAATAATTTAGTTTTATGATTTTTACTTTTTCCTAATAATTTTCTTTTTCCCGTCGTCGTAGTTTTGTCAATTGTCGGATCCATCAATTTCTTGATTGAAGTATGTGTATTTTTTACAGTATTAAACGGTGTATTTTTATCATAATTAATATCTGACTTAGAAATCTGTTTCGTAGATTCTGGATGAAATTGACGCAGAGAAGCTTCCTCGATATCAGCATTTGGTTTTATACTTGTTGATTCAAGATATTCATTTACATTAACATTTGACTTACTGATTTCATTAGTGGATGACTCCGATGCAAAGTACGGATCAGTCGCTTTGAGTTTATTTGAATGATTAATGTCATCTCTAGGGGATATTTGTGTGACATATTCCGGAATTCTAATCGCAGAATACTTGTTGGGATTATTTTCTTGTGCCTGTTTAGCAAATATTTTTGGTGATATTGCACTGAGTACGCACACATCGCGACCAAATAGTTTTATGCATTCTTCCATGTTAATAAATTTTCCATCATTTGTTATATCATTGGTAACGAATGGTACGCTGCTTGTATCAACATCATCTACCGAATATGTCGTTGACTTAAAAAGATCATCTAGATTTCTTTCCGTTTGTTCGGTAAAATCGTTTGATTTCTGCACAATTTTCTTTAAATTAGAAGGACTTATAGTGTCATCTTCTTCCGTTGCATCAGTCAAATAATTTAAATTAGTTTCTGTTTCTGAATCAGCTGATGCATCTATATTTGGAACTTCTGTGGTTAATTTAGGAGAATGTTCTTGATCTTCTTCAGTGACTCCAATTGGATTGTTTGACTCAAGATCATTTGTTGTTTCCTTACTAGTTATCACATCAACATAATCTGTCGAAGGTGAATTAGTAACTGACATGGAACTTTCAACCGAATCGGTTATTACAGGTGAGCAAATGCACGGTTTTTTATGAATAACCGATTGATCTTGATTATTTTCAACTAAATAATTTTGCCTGTCCTGAAATGGAATAAAAGGGATTCCGACGTCAACATATTTTCCTTCATTTCCAACCATATGAGATAAAACATTTGGCGTTATGCCATATAGAATTGGTACAGGCGGGATGTTCATTTTTTCTGGATAAGATTGTATTGGGAAATAATTGATTAAATTAGAAAAAGGCAATTCATAAGGATTTTCATGATATAATTTTGGCGATTGTTGTTGTAAGATATTTGCTTTTGCGTTTTTATGTTTTGTTAGTCTTTGATGATTTATTCTTTCAGGTTTGTCTTTGGAGGAACCTAATATTTTTGAAGAACTTTCTTTTGATGAGCTAGAAGAACAGTCCTCTTCGCAATGACAAATATATTTTTCTGTATTACATTTCTTTGCCTTTTCTGGAAATTTCAAATTTATAGTTACATCCTTCGCATTTAGATTATCGTTAAATGATCGTAGAAGAGTTTTATCTTCATTTGTAGCAGCTACCATTCTTTTTGATGTTGCTGAGTTTTTCTGAGAATATTTTGTGTTTTTTGTAGTATGATCATTTGAATTTTGCTGGAAGGTTCCCACATTGATATTTTTGTTAGCGGTTCTCGTTCTATTATTATTTTCTTTTGTCGATAATAATAAAAATCTATTTCTCCGACGTGTATCGCAACGCTTTGTTTTTTGAACCATTTCCTTTGACTTTTCATGTTCATTTTGTGTTTGTCGAACTGGCATTAATAAAATGAGTGATCTTTTTGAATTATCTTTTATAAGATGTTCGTCATTATATAACGATGGATAGGGTAGAATTGTCGATAATCTAAAAATAATAAAATATTTGTTTAGAAAGACTTGCTAATTTATTTAACATGTTTATTACAAACATATATACACACTACCGTTTAAAAGTTTGGAAACAATTGAAAATTTATAAAAAAATACAATAAAATGATATTAATTATAAAACTTTAATTATATACTATACTAAATTATAATTTACAATAATTTAAACTCTTAATTACTAAAAAATCATTAATATCTGAATTTTCATTACATTTTTAATTTATTAAAATATCTATGTCTTATTTTTAATTAACTGTTCGAATTCGAAGCATTTTACTTATTCATTTTTAATGATAATTATTATAACGCGATTGTGTGTGTGTGTGTGTGTGTGTGTGTGTGTGTGAATTATATTGTGATTGATAAACAATATAATAAACATGTAAACAATTATATTTTACTCAAACCACGAAAGTTTGTTCTTTCTCTACAACAGAATAACAGCATCTCAAGCAGAACACAAGTTCATGACATTAGAATGACGTCTGTCTCGCCAAATGGCTCCAAAATTATTATTAATAATCAAAAGTCATTTTTTAATCAGTTACAATCTATTCTAACATCATTTTAACGTTATCATGATTTGTTGTTCTACTGAGCATATACACTCGATAAAATTCACGTCTTATAAGTCAGCAGAACAAAGTAAGCAAAATCAATTCTAATTAACGTTTGTTAATTAGAATTTTTATTTGTTGTTCATTTGTTGTTAAGAAATTGCTAAAAAAATTATTGCCCTCAATTTTCTTAAAAGGTGATGTTCCGCTAAAGGAAGATTAAGATTTTAAAAAAATTTGCAGAACAATAAATTGTTTTTCTTGACAACTTTTTAGCAACAAATAAAAATGTTAACTAGAATTGATTTTGCTCACTTTGTTTCGCTAATTTATAAGACTACTTGTAAAATTCTTTAAATAAAATATTTCCTGGAACATGATTAGACAAAATAATAGTTTGCCGAATATTTAAAACAAGTAGTTAAGTTTTCCATATTGGATTTTTCTGTAGAAGTATTGACACTACTGTTTTAAAAGAGAAAATAATGCTTCCAAACTTTTGAACGATAATTTATATAAGATTTATTCGCATTGCTTGAAATCTCTAAAAATTTTTATATTTAAAACGAAGTAAATACACTGCTCAAAAAATTATGGCATAGAAAAATTGTGGGCAAATTGGCCAACTTTGATAACTTTGCGAAAAATTATCATAGGATAACTTTTTTCTTTTTTAATTAAGATTTGAAATCTCTACTTTAAGACACTATGGCCAAATTTTAAATTTGATGCACCACTGTAACTCTCAAAAATATGAGGGTGTGTTTGTCATATTGAAAATTGTAAAGTTTGTACGGACTTAAAAATTTTTTTGGAGAATACTGTTTGTAGGCATAAAATTCGAACTTTCCTCTTTAATTAAAAGAAAAAACGAGAAGCTGTGATTTTTTCCCGCAAAGTTACAGCACTTTGAAATTACCCTTACATTTTTTACATATACTACTGGCATTACTTGCATTACCGGATATGCACCACGAGGTTTCCGGATGGATTTTGCACGTTTCTTGGTGTATGTAGATTTGTACTTAATAATGAGTCACAGATTAAGAGATTTAGTAAGACAACCAGTTAATCCCAGAGACTTATCACAAGCTCTAGTACAAATCTGGAATGACATTCCGTAGGAAGAAATTAAGGTCTGCATTAATATAAGGAATCGACTGTAAGCAGTAATCGAGCAACGCGGAGCCAACACGCGTTATTGAAATTTACACGCAGAAATACAATGTGCAAAAATGCAAGGCTAACTTTAAAGTGTTGTAACTTTACGGAAAAAATTGCAGGGACTTGTTTTTTTTTCTTTTTTTTTAATTAAAGGGGTAAGTTCGTACTTTATGCCAATGCAAACGTCATTCTCCAAAAAAATTTTACAAAGTCCGTGCATTCCGTCAAACTTTGCAATTTTTAATACGACAAACACGACCCTCATATTTTTTAGAATTACAGTAGCAGGGATACATCAAACTTAAAATCTGGCCATAGCGTCTTAAAATAGAAATTTCAAACTTTAATTTAAAGAAAAAAAAATGTTATCCTACGATAATTTTTTGCAAAATTATCGTTAGTCAAAGTTGGCCAATTTTTGATCACAATTTTTCTATGCCTCAATTTTTTTGAGCAGTGTATATTCGGACATTAAAAAAAAACGAAGATTATTTAAATTCAAAAAGTGTACGCAATGCGAACAGATATAAGTATTAACAATTATAATATATTATCTAGTATTTGACAATTATATACCTAAATTAGATGACAATAAGACATCAATAAAATTGATAACAATTTTAATCGTTTGGGTAATTTACTTAAATCATATAAGAAATTTTATTTTTTAGTTTATAGTCATACATGGGATATTATTTTTCATTTAAGCAATATTTTTTTATTTTACATTATTTTATCTATATCTTATATTCATATCATATATAAGGTAATAAGACAACTCCAGATCAAAAATTTTCAATTCAGCAGTTTGTTGTGACGAAGTAGATTATTGTGTGTATGACACATAATATGATAATGACATTAATGATTTTGCTGACAAAGAGTTATGCAAGTACGACTAACATACTTTTACGTCTGCAGTTTAAAAAATTGAACTACTTTTATATAAAATTGAATAAAAAAAGAATCAGAATTTTTCTTATTTAAACTTTAATTTTTAGTACACACAATGATATTCTAATCTTTTCTTATTAGTACACGATAGGTCATTTGTATCCTGGGTTAATTTTCATTATTTTCACGAATATACAAAAATTATGAAGTGATTTTTACGTATACTTTGACGTCTTTAGAAAGTATTCATAAAGAATTACATATTTAAAACAAAAGAAACAAACAGAGATCATTATTTGGCCTAATACTTCTAGTTATCTCATTAAAAAAAAATGAGAAAAGAAAAGACACTAAAATGATCTGATCGTGTATATTAAGGGTTAATTAATTAATAAAATAACAAATTTTATTTACCTTGAATTTAATAAATCTGCAGTTTCTACATTTTTAACAGTAGATACTTCTTCCAAACGAGCAATTACCAATACAGTCAAAAGGCACAAAGTAATTTTCTCATACATATTGATCAACTTCTTTTCAACTATCGGATATTATCACGTTTCTTGAGTAAACACAAAAATTTTTATTGTACAAAAAAATAATACTGTTATAATAATATTTATATAATATAAAATAAATTATAATATATTTTTAAACATACATTATGTAACAATCGAAAAAATAAAGTTAAAATAATGTAGATCAATAGTTATTAAGATAATTCAATAAATTATATTAATAAATATATGAAATAACAGCTGCATTAAGAGAAATAATAAATATGCTATATTCAATTTTTTGATAGAAATATAGAAATTAAATAAGTTAAATAAAATATTAATTGACGCACTTATTATATAATTGATTAATTTTATAATTTTAAAATTAGGTTAAATAAATTGAAAGATGTAAACAATATACATATGTAAATATACGATAAAATTTACTTTATATTGACGTCTCCAAAAACGAACTGAACTCGATCATGATCAAAAGCGCACTGTATCATACAGTGATTCGATGAATGTACAATGACATTCTATCATCACATCGTTATGAAATTTAATTCGTTAATTATGTCGCAATATGCATCGTATGTGTGTGAACAACTTTTGATTCAATCATTAGTGACCTGATTTTCTTAAGAATTGCTGCTTATAGTTCTAATATTTCTCGCAATTCTACGAATTATGAATGATATTCTTCAATACAATTATAATACAATTGCAAAATGTATCTGCATTTTTAAAAAATAATTATAGCAGAATTTTATAGTTAAATCTATAAATTAATCAACTTATTAAATAGTAATCTTGAAATAATTCTCAGCTGTAAAATATATAGTTTGATAATTTATTTTAATTATTAAGAATAATATTTATTGCGATTTAATGCATTCTTAATTTACTATCTTACTATATTTACTATTTTACTGATTATTTAATTATAATAAATAATACATATCTATTCTAAAATTAAATTATATCATGCTACATATGCAATATTACATAAGATGTACTTTTTTCCAGTTTTTAATAACATATTATTGCATTATAATAAGTGGTTCTATAAATTTTTAAGATTAAATTTAAATGAACGCTAAAACACAAGTTTTTGGCCTATTTTTTTATTATATTTATGATAAAAAAACGTTTATAATGTTGTTCAATCTGCATTTAAAGATATATCTATATACAAGCTGGGGCATCTAAAACAAAATACTGGAATATCTCGAAAATTAAACACGGTAGAGAAAAATGTTTCAGACAAAAGTTGTATGATTCGAAGGGGAATAAATAATGATGAAATCATTTTTAATCCTCAGTACTCACATTTCTAACAGTTCTTATCTACACACATCCGGGTATTTGTAACCCAGCGTTTTTCTTTTGCTTGTATCTCAGATTATAGTGCATCGATTTTAACTAATTTTTTTAAATTTA